CAAATGGTATCCAGTTTAAAATCCAGAATCCTGGTATTCAGCATTCAGATTGACATTGAACAATCTTGCAGTAAATTAAAATGCCAAACAATTGGGAGATAGAGATTTGGCATTATTTGTAGGAAGCGAAAAGAAAGATTCAGTCTTAGCTTTCACTACATATACTTACTCAGATTTGTATGGAAATGGTAACCCAACCTATTGGTAGGCTATCCCATATGAAAAGGATTTGGTACACTGGCATTATATTTATTTTGGTTACAATAGACATATCTCTAAGGCTTATGGTTATGTTGAGTTTTTCACTAGAAAGGGAGAAGTTCACTTTGAAAATGTTAAGCATTTTGATGCTCCTCATAAATACTTGTATGTCGGATAAGATTAATTCTATAAATCATACAGTGGTAAGATCTTCAATCTCCATTACAATCTTTGTGATGGTTCATATAGAGAATTGAAATATGATGAACATTGGGGATATACTCCTAAACCAACAGATCCCGTCCCACCTCCTCCAGTTCCTGTAACACCATCAGAACCAGCAAGTGAAGAAGAATGGGTTGAACCACCTATTCCTCCTATTCCATCTGAACCTGAAGAGGATATTCCTTATGAACCAGAAGAAGAAAACCCACTTCCACCACCACCTTTGAGTGAAGAAGAAACTCCAGTTGAACCACCTGTTGAATCTGAAGAAGAATCACCAGAGGAAATATCAGAGGAAACACCAGAGGAAACACCAGAAATTCCTGACGAACCAGTGCCTGATCCAGATCATGAGGAAGAGCCAGAATTACCTGAAGATGAACCATCAGTTCCAGAGGAGGATGTTGAACCACCAGTTGAACCACCTGTTGAATCAGAAGAAGAAGAACCATCAATTCCAGAAGAAGATGAACCATCAATTCCAGAAGATGAAGAACCTTAACCACCTGCTCCAGTACCTTAACCAAAGTATTTATATTTGGATATAATTTTCTAAGATGTCCACCAACTATTGAAGTTAATAAAGACAATGCTGCTGATATTTTATGTGAGCTATCACATTATTTGGGTGAATTTGCTTAAGGCCATGTACCAGTAGCTGGACCAAGCACAAAGACTGTTTGTTTCTGCATGACTTACAATGAAGGTTTCAATTTTAAATGTTATTTTTAGATTATGCTCCACCAACTTTATTGTAATTGGCATCAAAGATTCCAGGACATATTCAAATGAATGAACCTAAAGTAGCAGTTCCATTATTGAAGAAATTCATCAAACAAAGATAATGAATATTTTTAATATTAAAAATGGCTAATCAATTAGATACAATTTAATTTTCTAGCTAAAACAAATTTCATTAGCATATTCCTTCAATTGACTATCATATATAGAATAAAGTATATTAATACCCTTCAAATTTTGACTTTCATCAAATCAATAAAGAAATTTAATTCATCGCAGATTATGCATAAAAACTAATAAAAACCACTTAGTAAACATCTGATAAATATAAATACATAATTAGAATTGCAGAAATTAGTATGAAAGCTAAAAAAGTAGATAACAATAAAAAATTATTGGATGATATCATTGATGAATTAACTATCATACTTGCTCTCTGTTTGAAATCAAAAACTGTGTAATTATTGCTTACTAGATTAATTTATCTATATAAAAGAAAATAACAAAACTTTATTAATAGTGATACAAACATCAAAAAATTTGGGTTATTTTTTAATAACAAACCTAATAATAAAAATAATATACTTCCTAATTTCATAGAGTCAACAAGAATACATACATAAAAATAAAAATCATCTTCTCCTACATCTTAATATTAAAATTCTATATTGATTTAAAGAAGAAATAGTAAGTTTTAGACATAAATTTATAAAAACGATGATTAATAAAATTAAAATGATGAACATTTACAAATAATATTCAATCCACCCTTAAGTTTTTAGAGATAAAAAAACTATTAGCTTTCGAAATATTGATTTTTATATACTCTAAATAAAAGTTATTGAATAGATATTTCAGAATTTATAATAAATTTAAATAAATTCGTTATAAAATATCTTTACACATAAAATTATATAAAATAATTGTAATTATTTAATATTTATCAATTATTTTTCTAAGGAATTCCATCAAATATTTCTTTTATCCTTTTTTTCTCATTTTCATCTTCAATCAAAATTAAATTGTTGACTTTAAATGTATTTGGCTGATTTTCAGGTACCTTCTAACTGAAAGATAAACAAGCACAATATAAGATTATTGCCATCAGAACTAAACCAGCAGAAACTCCTATGATAATATAAGGAGCATCCTTTGGATATACCTTCCAATAAGGTAATATTTCAATACTTTCAACTTTGATACTACCTGATACTGAATATCCTGAATTAGCAATAGAAGTATTTTCATTAGTAGTTTATAAAAGCCTTCTTAAAGACAATCTTCTTCTTGTATCTGTTGGATAGTTGTCATCTATATCTCTTTCAACCAATTAAGCTGTGATTGAGATTGTACAATTTTAAACTGCAACTGGCACAAAAAATTCATAAATAGTAGCAGTCATATTTTTTTCCTTTTCACTTGAAGATCTCAAATTAATATTTGTTCCATTTCCAAGAGCTACAGCACTTACTAATTGAAATTTAAAATCTGCTCCAAAATCTATATATTTATTATCAAGCATCACCAAAATATAAAAAGGTTCATTTAAATACAATACTTAAGGTTCAGAATGAAATGACCTACAATCTGAACTTTAACATAATAGAACCTTGCCTTCAACCTTTGTTGAAGCTTGACCAAGATCAATTGAATCTTACAATACTCCAAATAAAATTTAATCACCAGAGATATCTTTTGCTATTAAAATAGAACTATCATTTGGATAATAAAATTCTTAAGTCCATGTTAAATTAACTAATTCAACTGATGTATTGTTTAAAAACAAATAGAATTCAAATAGACATGAATATCCTGCTTATTAAGAGAGTGGTAATTTTAATTAATATTAACAACCAGCAGCAGTTAAAGTATTTTCTGCAATTTTAAATCCATATTAATAAAGAGCTATTTTTGGATTTGATCCATCTATGTAAACATTATTAGCTTTGTTCATTATGAATTTAACCATATGACATTCCTTTATTTTAATGTTCTTTAAAACTATACCATAAAGAGCATTTTATTCTTAAATCCATCCTACTGAAATCTTATTAGCTGTTATACTGCCTGCATCAAAATAACAGAAATCAGATATGCAGGCACCTCTATAAAGTCTTCCCTTTTCACATGATGTACATTCAGAATAAGATAAACAACTACTGCATCCTTCTGAGCATATTCCTCTGTCAAATATTGAAATATTAGTAATCAAAAACTAACCTGCATAATCAGTAGCATCAGAATAGGCTTCAAAGACTATTCTGAATGGTTTTATAGAATTTGGTCTTATGTGAAGCCTTACCTATATTATTTTTATTTATAATATACTTTTGTCCAAGTGTTCTCAGCTAGACTATTAATAGTAACAAATTAGGCATATTTGTTTGTTTAATTTACACCTGAGGTTATTAAGGTTATGTCTTCTGCTCCAACCCAATAATATTCATCATCATCATTTGTCCAACCTACTACGATACCAGTATAAGGTTTTTAAGATTAAGGATGATGAACAGCTAGATAAGCAAATTCCAAAGTAACTACATCTTCTTCTGTAGTGAAGTTTAGACTAGATTTGATAGGTTTTGTATAACAATCTCCTCCATAAGTGAGTTTAGTTATCACCATACAATTTTATTGTTTTTTAACAACTGTACATGGAACAATCAAACAATTATGAGTACTTGATAAATCTGATTCATTTTTTGAAGTAATAAAGGTAGAAATTTGTTGGTTGAAATTGAAGAATGTAGGGGTATTTAAATATTATCCTAGCACTTAATCTAATCCTACTAGAATAATATAGCAAAGCATTATTTAAAACATATATAATAATGAATGAAAAATTTTGAGGAATCATACAATTCGACTAAAAATCGAAATATTCTATTTGAATTACCTAATTGATTTTCTTATGCCTTACATAAATATTTATGTAAGTATGGTTTGTGATTTTAACTATACAAATAAACCTCTAAATTCTATTTGATTACTCAATATTATTAACAAGTACTTTATTTATCATCAGATTTCAATCATTCCCTTCCTTATTTAACATTATTCCATTATTATGTATTCCTATATTCATTTCATCTTAAATTCTACCCATTTATTTGTTAATTGACATTTATCTAAAATATATTATCTTCTTTGTATTACTTGCTTATTATAATTAATACATCATTTTTTAGAGTGTGACTATTCAATTAGTATAAGTAATATACAAACTATACAAATATAATTGTATAAACTTAATTGAATATTAACTATGTGTGTTTCAATCTATTCTATTGAATATTCTCTTAATTTTTTTTTAATAATTTTACAATAAATTAAACTGTAGAAAACAAGGTTTATATAATACAAATTATAATATTTATTCAATTGTAGAAGTAGATTATATTTAATCTTATCTTATTATTATTCATTTAAATATCAAATATATTCCTTAATCTATTATTTAAAAATATATATATATATGATATTAATTTTAAAGTTTAACTGAGAAATAAATTACTCATAAAAATAGAAATAGAAAAACTATTAAATTAAAATTCTAGGTTTAAGAAAAATGTAAAATAATAATCTAAAAAGAAATATAAATGATTATAAACTTTATTTAATTAAATAACCAAAAAATAAAGTATTTTAATTCCTATGGTATTAAATTATTTAGAAGTAAGAATTTAAAATATTAAATGAATAGAATGAACTCTGATATAATAAGAAATAACAAATATTATTAATTATATATAATAAGAATTAGTAATAATATATAATATGTATTTTATATAAAACCTTTTAATAAAAAGTTCATTTATAGTTATTTATCAAAATCAATTAAAAAGACCTGCATATTAAGCAATTTCTTTGGCATCATCTTCATATTCCCTTTCTTCTTATCCTTCTTCTTTATCTTATGCATTTTCATTCATATATGATTTTTTTTTACTCATATCATGCAATCTACTAATATAGATTATTTTTCTAGCACATAAATCTAAAAATTTAGGTTGATTCTAATAAATGTTAAATATTATTACTCTAAATTAATACATGACATCTTCTATATTCAATTTTAAATTGTCTTCTTATTTTTCAATTGATCTCTTTATTGATTTCTCCAATACTCTTTATAAAAAATGGACAGCAGCCTTTTAAACTTCTTAAATAGCCAAGGGATCAGGATCTTTTTCTCCTGCATTTGATTAAAATGCTGCTCTAATAGGTCCTTCAAATATTTTATTAGAGATTTTTGGATTTTTGCTACTAAATAATTCATTTTTCATTATTATTTTTAATAATTATTAATAATTATATATAAAAATATTTTATTAATATATGTTTTAAATGTATTAAGAGATCAAATAATTAATATAATATATTGAATCTAATTCAATACATTATATATATATACATAAATATATAAATTTATTGATAAAATAATATTCAATAATTAATTAAACTATCAAGACAATGCTCCATATTGAATTTATTTTAACAATCTAATTTATATTTAAGATATTTAAGTGGATTATTAAGTAATTTTTAATTATCTGGCATGAATTGATCATAATATTTGATTCTATGATATTCTAATTTCTCAGATAAATTGCCAAATGGATCTGGACGAGTATTCTAAACAGTTTTATTGTTTGTAGAATGTAAATGAGGCATTTAATAACTTTATCCTCCAGAAGAATATGATTGATTTTATGTTTGATTTGGTTATTTATTTGTTGTAAATGTTTAGGGTGTTTTAGTATCAGTTGTTTGTCTAATAGAATGTAGAGATATTTTATAAGGATCAGAAGTAGGAGGATCAGTTTACAATTCTACTTATAATTCTTAAATTCTTTATTTAAATTGTTCTATATTCGATGATAGATTGAAACGATCTTAGTTACTTTGTGATTCATTAAATTTCTTAGTATATTATTAAATAGATCTATTGAACTCTTGCAATCCTGTTTTAACATCACTTAATTCATCCTTTTTTTCAGAACTTTCTGGAGCATGAAGACTACTCATGTCAATTCCAAGACGTTGTAATTTTGATTAACTTAAATCAACATCTGAATCCTCAGACATTATCTAATCATTTTAAAGATCAGCTAAAGTTAATGCAGCTGGAAAGTATGCTGAAACTTTGTTTCTGTTAGTGTCTGTTAACATTTATTATTTGCGCAATATTATTATTATAATTATTATTCAATATTATCGTTTAATATTTAATATTTATTAGCATAATTATATAACTACATTAATATATTAATTTCTGTTCTTTATATTTATATTTATAAATCATGATAAATAGTAATTAATTATATAATAATATAGAATATATATATTATTTTTAATACATAATTATTGTTGATTTGATAAATTAAAAGTAGTTATTTAATATTAATAGTTTTTTGTTATTTATTATTATCAAAATGGCTATCTCCTTTCTTATATAAATCTTTGAATATATTGTACAAATTATTAAAGTTGAATTATATATTCATTAAAAATAAAAATAAATGAATTAAGTTGCAAATCATCAAGGAATAAATTAATTAGTGTATGGAATTCTTATTAAAATAAAAATGCATAAATCCAAACGAACTTAGATAATTTTGTTTTTGAGTCCAAATGAAGCTCGAATGATTTAAATGGTAATCTAATAATAAAATTTAGCTTGATCCTCTTGGTACTTTTAGTAATTATTTTGATCTTACATAAATTTCTGATATGACATCAGAGGAGAAAAACAAATTGAAAATTATTAATTCACAAGGAATATACATTAAACTATACTTTGAGAATCAATAATAATTAAATATCATTAGAGAAGGTTTGCAATATTTAATAGCTGAGGCATTTCGTATTTAAAAATAGTTAGATAATTATAATCAAATTTGGAGCAATGCTTTAAAATTGATTACTAAATCAGATCTTGATATGGATAATAAACTCAATTTTAAGGAATTCTAATTTTTAATTGGAGAATTATAAATTGAAATTACAGAGAGAAAACTATTATAGCTATTTGATAAACATTAAAAAAATAATCAATTAGATGAAGCTACTTTATATAAATTACTTATGGAAATTACAAGAAAACATGAATTGATTCAATTATATCAAAAATATTGTAGTAAATAAGAAGGTTTATTTGATGATCCACATAATACTATGTTGATGAGTGCTCATGATTTAGAAACATTCTTTTTAATTGAATAAGGTTAAAAAGATTATTAAGCTAAAAAATAGAATTATAATTTTTATGATTTTTAAAATATTATCTTTAATTAAGATAATTCAATCTTTTAAACTAAAGATTTTGATAAATCTTAACCTCTTACATCATATTTAATTAATTCATCTCATAATACTTATTTAGAAACAAATTAATTAACAGGATAATCAAGTTGTTTTGCTTATTAAGATGCTTTCAAAATGGGATTTAAATGTGTAGAATTAGATTGTTGGGATGGAGAAGATGGAGAACCTAATGTTACTCATGGACATACTTTAGTAAATAATATCAAATTTATTGATGTAATCAAAACTGTAAGAGAATTTGCATTTTTTAAAGATGATAATCCTGCTATATTATCCTTAGAAATGCATTGTTCTCTTAAATAATAAAGAAGAATTGCTGAAATATTAAAGTCAGTTTTAGGAGAAATGCTATTTGTAATTAAGGATTACAAAGCAAAACAATTTGCTTCCTTATAAGAATTGTAGAGAAAAGTATTAATAAAATATAAGGCTGATGAAGAATTTTTATAAGAGAAATTATAATTAAGAGATCATTCCTTGTCATTATATTGTACATAGACAAAAGATGATATGCTTATTTAATTTGATGATGAAGAAGATAATGATAATTCACTTAAATAATATAGTAAAACACTTGAAAATAAATAAGTCAAAAAGAGTTGTAGAGAAATATTAGAAATAACATCTTTATTTGCTGTATCACTTAAATTAAATATCTATCCAGATTTAGTATGGGTTGTTTCTAGTGTTTCTGAAGATAAAATTTAAGATATAATAAAAAAGAATTAAGGTAAATTTTATGATTATGTAAATATTTACTTTGTAAGAATTTATCCATTAGGTTTAAGATTTGACTCTAGTAATTATGATCCTTTTCCATCATGGTCAGCAGGAGCATAGATGGTAGCCTTAAATATACAAACAAAAGATATATTTATGTTATACAATTATGGTATGTTTCTCAATAGTTCATATGTATTAAAACAATAACATGATATTTCAATGACAATTTATGTACAAATTATAAGTGCTAGTAATTTAGTATGGGAAGAAGAAAAAAGAAGATAATAAGAAGTTGTTGATCCTTACATAAAAGTCAGGATTGCTGGAAACAAAGAGGATGTAAATAATTCAGAAAAATGGAGAACTGAAGTTATTTATGATAATGGATATCATCCAATATTTAATTATAAATGCAAAATTTAACTTAAACATGCTTAATAAGATGTGATTTATTTTCAAGCATATAGTTATTCGATTTTGGGAGATTCATTATTGGGATAATATTGTTTATCTCCATTAAATTTAAGAAGAGGTTATAGAATAGTACCTTTATTAAATTCTTAATTGAAACCATTATTAAACTCTCATGTATTGGTAAATATTAAAATAGAGTATTGAAAAAGTATAATTAAAAATTAACTTTATAAAATTATTATATTTAAAATATCTTTTATTAAATTATAATTATTATAATCAATTATGATTTTTGTAAGATTTATTATTATAAATAAATTTATTAAACTTATTTTATATATATAATCTGATAATAATTTTAATACACAAAATATAAAATTATTAAAATTAATCACAAATCAAATGGATCAAATTATACTTATTGAATACTTGGTAACCATTAATATTATAATGGTTAACATGGAGTTCCATCACCTTATTTAAATGTAACTGATAACTTTTTCTTATCTTAAATATTGTTTTTTTCAATTTACCTATCAAATGTCCATCCATAGCTTCTTTTGCTTTTTATGCACTCTCTTATTTGTCAAAACTCACAAATCCAAAACCTTTACTTTTACCAGTTTTTGGATCTGTCATAACTCTTGCTGATATTACATTTCCATATGATGAAAATAAATCCATAAGATCAGAATCTTTATGTTCATTTGGTAAATGAAAAACAAAAAGATTTGCTCCAGGTGGCCCTGTTTTTTTAGAATTAAAAGTAGCTAAATCATTTAAATATTTTTCTTTTGTAATTATTTCTTTGCTTCCATCTGGTGAATATATAATTGAACCAAAACTCACACTATTATATAAATATATATATTTTAAACCTTCTTACAATTTCTCCAGTCTCCCAATGAATGTAAATTGGTTTCTTCTTTTAATCCAACCATCTTGTATATGATTTAGTCTAATTATTATAATAAATATACAATGTCTCTAATTGGATCTCCTTCTTCATTTGCAGGTGTCTCAGGATATTATGATTTGGCTATAGTTGCTGGCTACCCCAAAAATCTAACATCTAATGGGCGATCACTATATATATATAGATAATATTAAGAGTAATACCCTAACTAATTCTTATTATGATTATTTTTTATTGCCAATAAACAGCTCTCCTTAAAAGTATATGACACTATGGCACTAATTGAAGATTATCCTTAATTCTATATCTAAACATCAGTGACTTGACCATATTTCATAAATATCTCTTTAATCATTGCCTCTTCACAATCCTTCTATAATCCATCAATTTATATTTTAGGAGATGTTTCTTCTGCTACTCCCAATCTTTCTTTTTCACCTTCTGCCCATTTAAGTACCAGAGGCTGCATTCCATCCACTGCTACCTCTTTCAATTATTTTGTAGCTTTTTCTCCTTCTTGCATTTTATTGAATTTGACTATAGCTGCACCCTTAGATTTAGCTTGAAATTATATTATATTTAATACGATCATCTTTTTTTAACATTTACACATCAGAAACTGTATATCCTTAATTCGATAGAAAATTTTTCAATTTTATTTCATCCCATGCTGCAGGAATCTAAGAAATCTGTAATTTAAGATAAAGTGGCTATTCTGTTGAAACAAAAGAAGGGACATAAGACATTGTGTAAATTATAAATAATTTAAATAAATCGAATAAGAAAAAACATTAAAAGAAATAATTATCTAATACTTGTTACTATTTATAAGACTTTGAAAGTAAGGAATACTAGATTATATAAGACAAATATGTAGCTTTATAAATTTAATATATTTTAAGATTG